GGGATATTATATCCTTTTATTTTTATAATCATTAAACTTGGCTTCTTACACAAACGATTATATGGTCCTACACCCTTGGAATAATTCTCACCATCAGGATTATCCCGAGGCTTATGTCAAGGTGAAAAAAAAAATTAGATGGTTCCCAGAAGTGGTTTGTGGTTTGGGTATAATTTGCTTACTATTTGCATGTGCCTATTTTGAAAAGACTTCTTGGTTTCAAGTTAAAACACTTTGGCTATAATTGAGAGTAGATTACTTGCTTTATGTTTGGCTGCCATAATTTATGTAGATTGACTATTCCAGAAACATAGAGCCAGAAGTGAGTTGACAGTTAAATGGAACAGAGAAGAGGAAAAAAAAGTCTCAAGAAATCTTTTAAGACAGTAATAGCCCTCATCTGGAATTTTCCTCTCCTCTGCAAGAGCTTTTGCAGTTAATTAGAGTACAGGCTGACCAGGGGAGGTCTGGCCTGCATGGTGGGAGTTGACGGTTACTCCGAGTCTGCTCCATGCTCAGATATTTCCTTTACTAGTCTTTGAGTTAGAACATGGAAGAACCCCCTATCAAAATAGAAATGTTTAGCTACAAAATTTTATTGCTGCAAGAGATCTTACAGATCACTATACACAGAGGTTCTTAAGACTTTTCAAGTGTGAGAACTCCTTTTTGACCTCAACATGTCCTGGATTCTCTTTCTGTAGGACTTACATTGTAGCATCTGTGGATTGAGAAGGTGCATAACTACAATATGGCCCTTTGAATTCAATAATCATTTACATGAATTTAAATTTTAGGGGCGCCTGGGTGGCTCAGTCAGTTAAGTGTCTGCCCTGGCTCAGGTTATGATCTCAGGGCCCTGGGATTGAGCCCTGTATCGGGCTCCCTGCTCAGTGGGGAGCCTGCTTCTGCCCTTCCCTCTGCCTCTTCCCCCACTCCCCCGCTCATGCTCTCTCTCTCTCTCTCAAATAAATAAATAAATAAACTCTTTAAAAAAAATCTTTATTAATCAGAACAGTAATTTCATATATTTGAAACAAATAACTACACCTATATTAGTGAAGCATGTCATTTATTTCATCTATAACGTCTTAAGTGTACACATGGACTTGGAGAGCTCAGGGATTTGGAGGCCCCCAAAGTGAGACCTGTGCGTTGGGAACCACCAATTTAATCCAGTCTATTTTAACAGACAAAGATAAATGTGGTTCATGGATATTAAGTGACTTTCCAAGAACACAATTAGCTAGTGGCAGCCTCTAGTTCATTGACACTTTTTCCACTGGACGGCAACCTTCTTAAACGTTTCTGAAATTATCATCATGCAGATCAGCAGAGAGAAGTATCATAAATGAACTAGCTCTGTACCACACATGGAAGGACATGCTCCTATAGTTACCAACAGCAACAAAACATCTTTCAGTTAATTGGATTGTGTGTAGAATTCTTGCATAACTTGTCTCACTTGACAAATATTTCTTGAGGATTGCCAGGAAGTAGAGACCTGTGTTAGGTACTTTTTAACCATAGAATAAATCTAGGAAACACTGAATTTCTGGCCACAGATAATACCCTCTCAAAAAAGCTGAGAAACTTTTAAAAACCTTAAATATTATGGATTTTTGGCAAGGAAGAGGCACAAAAGTCAGCAAGAGTGGACATCCTCAACTTCAGCCAACTAGAGAGAAGCAGTTCTGGCTGCTGAATTGAGAAAAGAAATGAGAAAATTCACCAGCCGAATAATGCACTCTATTATTGGCAGGCAGGAGAGGAGGACAGTGTCAAAGATATTAAAAAGCCATTCAAAGTTAGAATGACTCGATTCAACCAGGGAAAAATGAAAGGAACAATCGATATTTCTTAGATATTTTCAATGTTGAGATACAGAGGGTGTATGAAGAGTAGTCAGGTTTCTCCGAAGCCCAAGGCTTCTCTGAGAGATTGATATGAGGAGAAAGATGCTGAACTGAATGCAGGTTGAATCCATTCTCTCCCTGGATGACCCCTTTCTGCCCGTACTGCATTGATTTAGAAAACTATTGGGTTCAAGAGATTAGCTTTAGGCTTCTCCTGATCCTGTGATAATTTGGGTCATTTTGGGGTAGATCCTGTATGGTCCAATCACATCTTTCGTGTGGATAGAGTAATACTGAGGGTTCATTCAGTTGGATCCAACAATGTCTTAAGAAGGTCAAGACTGCTCACCTAGATGTTACTATATGTGTCTATTTTCCATAGATAGAGCAGCTCACCTTATGAGCAGAATTTGCCATCTCCATCCCAACTTAATGATGTAAAACTGTGAGTTTCATAAGGAATCTTGTGGGGGATAGAACTGAACATGAACAAATCCATTCCCACCACCGGAAGCTGTAACTCAACCTCCATGTCTTTGGGGGATGGCATATCTGAGTCTTAGAGAAGCAGAGAGTAGATATAATTGGTGTCGACAGAAAAGCTGTACAAACACATCATGATTAATTCTGTAGCCCCTGCAGCTGACTATAATAAAACTGGGGTCCAGGGTGGGCTGCTTTGCATCCATGTTCACCCACCCTCTCCTTCCCAAGACTCGCAGGTGTTATCGGGAGGGACCGGTGTTGGCAGTGGAGCAGAATTCTTTCTCTTGCCTTAACCCTCCTGGTCAGAGCTGCCCTGCTGGCAGCCGTCCTGAGAAGGGCTCTAGAAAGTGGGCTGGGGAGCTGGAGCTTTTTCACCGCAGGCAGATTCGGTTGCCGTGGTGGAGTCCCTACGCATTTGAGGAGCGGCTCATCTGTTCCTGGCTGGGGAGCCCCAGTGCTCACCCAGGCGTGGCCCCCACGAGAAACGCCGGTGCTCGGCTCAACTGTGAACCCTTACGAATCGGCAAACAAAAGAGACAGTTTGATTCACCACATTTCCGGGAGGTCGAATTTTTGGAAAAAGAAAAAACAGTCACAGGAGAGTTTTCAGTGTTAGGGCCCTGGGGCAGGAATGGCAAGTTCTGAAGGAGGAGGGGAAAGGGAGTGAGACAGAGCAGAGGGGGGATGGGGGTAGGTGGGGAAAGAGATTCTTAGCAGTGGCCTTGGGTGGAGAGAATTGTCTAAAAAAAGATTTTAAGGATGTAGCCTTTATGATACGCTGTGGAAAAAGCTCTCTCCCGGCTCCTTTATGAAAATCACTAAATAGCCACATTCTGTTCTTTCCGGTGGGGGAGCCAGGAGCCACGTGCAGATACTGAGCCACTGAAGTGTGGCTGGTCCAAACTGAAATGTGCCTGGGATTTTGAAAGTTTTGTAGGGAAAAAAGAATGCAAAAATCAGTGTCACTGATAACTTCTTACATCAAATACTTGTTGAAATGATATTATTTTAAATATATGGGATTGAAGTACGTTATTAAAATTAATTTTACCTGTTCCTTTTTATTTTTTTTTTTTAAAGCATGTAGCTACTACAAAACTCACAGTTACGTCTGGCGCTCACATTATATTTCTGTTGGCTACAACTGATCTCCATCATCCTTCAGCGCTTCTGGGGTTAGATTTGTGTTTATTTTGTATGGGCATGGGCGGTGCTGCAGGGCAGTTCAAACAGACCTTCACATCCATGTCTATTGATGACCAAAATGGAAGGGAGGGTCGGACTTGATATGTTTCAGGCTCCCAAAGGAGCATTTGTCAGCAGTCTTTGGTCAGCCCGCATGTGTGCTGAGACCAGCAGGCATTCACAAAGATTCCGAATCAAAGAAACATCCAGGAGAAATGGGGCCTGACTTAAATATGTCAAAAGGAGACCAAGTTTTCCTACAAGAATGGAACTAGTGTTTACAGAGAAAGCTCAGAGGGCAAGGGTTGGAAACAAAGGGTGAGCATTGGAGAGAAGACGTGACCTCCTGGGTGAGTGTGAGCACCATGTGTTCTCCCAGCCATTCTTGCTGAGGTAAGAATGGCTGGGAGGGAGGAGAGAGAAGAAAAGAGAAAGGAAGGAGGGGAATAGAGGAGAAGGAAGGGAATGGAACTGAATTGAGAAAAATAGCTGGGCAAGAATAGACATGGTCCATGTGGTTTCTAACCGATGTTGTGTTTGAAATGGCTTGAGAAATGACCACCCCATGGAGCAGAAAACCTCTGTAAAACGACCACAAGCTAAAGAAAAACACAGCTTTCCTAAATGTTCAGTAGTAGCAGCCCTGAGTCTATGTATTTGAGAAATGGCTTGGAAGCTGCCCTAATTTTTTGTGAAGACAAGACTGGGGAGGAAGGAGCATTTGGGTAAGTGAGGAGGAAAAATGGCTTCTGGGGTCCTCAAGGTCTGCTATGGATGTTTCCTTGAGCTCTCTCCACAGAAGGTCAGTCAGGGCAGCCTATCTAAGGGAGGCCCTGGCTCCATCCCTGGCTTGGTATTATTATGTTGCATCGTGTATAAGTCAGCTAGGCAGAGCACAACTGGGCCCTTCCCACAACCAGAAAAGCACCCTTCATTTCAGGTTACAGCAAGAAAAGACACTCATTCCAAAGAGTTAGTTGAAACATGTAAAAATCCTCCAACAGAGTTCAGCCTATGCTCTGAGTCTGAAAAATTCAGTCCAATTTCTTATCCTATAACTCCTGTGTCTATGGAACTGGGCAATGAAAATGAATGTTCTAAATAATGACCTGAGGCGCTGCAAAAGCCTGAGGTGCCTCACAAATCATCAAAGGAAGATTAAATTATGTCCTGGACTTACCAAAGCCAAAAAAAGTGAACTAATAATATATTTTAGAAACAGTTGCTCTGGGAGCTGAGACTGAAAACGTGGTAGTGATTAACCCCAATTTAACTAGAACATCTAAGTAACCAAAAGGCTCCACTCTTAAAGTTTCCCAGTTAATTGACGATTCTTTTGCACACTGATAACAGGTGTGAAAGGCTTTTATGTGTTAGGTTTTCTCTGAGGCAGAATTGTTAACACTACCAGCTTGGCAGAGCGTGGCATTGGGCATTGGTTCAGGGGGACTAGTTAGAAATGCAAGTTCTCGCCGTGCCGATAGCGCTCTCGCAAACATGGTGAACGTTCCTAAAACCCGCCGGACTTTCTGCAAGAAGTGTGGCAAGCACCAGCCTCACAAAGTGACACAGTACAAGAAGGGCAAAGATTCTCTTTATGCCCAGGGAAAGCGGCGTTATGACAGGAAGCAGAGTGGCTATGGTGGGCAGACTAAGCCGATTTTCCGGAAAAAGGCTAAAACTACAAAGAAGATTGTGCTGAGGCTTGAATGTGTTGAGCCCAATTGCAGATCTAAGAGAATGCTGGCTATTAAGACATGCAAGCATTTTGAACTGGGAGGAGATAAGAAGAGAAAGGGCCAAGTGATCCAGTTCTAAGCTTCATATTTTGTTAATATTATAAAGACAATAAAATCATGAGGTTATGTTCACTTCAAAAAAAAAAAAAGAAATGCAAGTTCTTAGGTCCCACCCTAGACCTACTGAATGGAATTAGCATTTTAGCAATGTCTCAGGGGTGGATTCATAGGCCTACTGAAGTTTGAGAAGCCCTGGCGTCGGGGGTGATTCTAACTCTTGGAAGGGGAGAAATCCTTTTCTTAAACAGGACTCTGGGGGCTACAACAAATGTTTATTTTATGTTCTAGGCACTATACTAAGAAGTTTACATGACTCATCTCATTTTAATCCTTCAACAGCCAGAGGGACGGTAGTATAGAAATTAGTCCCATTTTACAGATAAGGAAACTGAGATACAAAACCATTAAGTGATTTGCCCAAACCCCCACACACTACGTCACAGAACCAGGATTCATATCTAGGCCGCTACTTGTTGGCTTTATAAGTTCAGGTCATTATTTTGTCTTTCTTACTTAGGTTTTGAGCCATCTATTCACAAGGTAGGCAGATACAGAGTTCTGTTGGTCTTACTCCCATGAGTTTTCCTTATCCTTTCCAGAAAGTCTGGAATTTCCTGCTTGAAATCCCCACAGAATCTAGACAGTGGAATGACATTCAGTAGTCACTCAGTTAATGGCATAATCCTGGCTGGAGTGTAGGCTTTCATATTACGATAAAAAAAAAAATAAAAAACCCAAAAAGCAAAATGAGACCAAAAAATTGATCTGAAATCCCATCTTTCAGAAACAGTATGTTAGATTTGGAGGTTTATTCTTACATGACTCAAGATAGCTCAACCAAAGGGGACTTATTTAAAAGTAGGGAGAGGAGGGAGGCAATGAAACCCCTCCTTCCGCCCATCAAAGGAACAAAGCACACATTCTCTGTTTCCCTGTCCTGTTCTTCTCCTTTCTGCAGACAAGGTTCTCTGCTTCCTACTCCATTGGCAGGTGAATGAAGATGGCCAGCCAGCCCTGATTTGACAATACCCTTCAGTTCATATGTCAGCAATCATGGGAACACGGTCTTTGTGTCTCTTACTTCTAAATTGCTACTTAGAGAGTTCCAGGCTGTTAATTGGGTTCTCACATTAATCAGCCAAAGTCAAGTTGTCATTAAAACAGGGCACCGTTTTTGGTAGGGATTGTAGGTGGGGCTTAATTCCAAATCATGGATCGTGGACTGGGCAACCATGCCCAAATATATCTACCTCATTTGTTTAATATGAAATGAGATCATGCCTCCTGTAACTACTTTTTTCGCTTCATATTTTGCCAATATACCTCCCCATCTATAAATATTATTGTACCTCATCAGTTTTACTAACAGTAGCATTCAGTGTATGCACCTGCCTCAGTTTGCTCAGCTGCTTTGCTATTGCCGGGTATTTTTTCCTCCATGCATTTGCCTTGAGCATGAATGTTGTTATGAATACTCTTGTCCAAAATCTTCGCGACTGGTCTTAATTTTTTTGTCTATTTAGGATAAATTCTTATAAAGCAAAATTGCTAGGTTAACAAGCATACACATCTTTTAAAGGTTTTCAAAATACATACTCAAATTACTTTCTGAGAAAACTGCACCAGTTCATACTCTTACCAGCAATGCAGTATACCTGCTCACAGCCTCACCAGAACTGGGCATTATTCTTTTTTATCTTTGCCCATTTGATAGGCAAAAACTAAGTTCATTGTTCTTTTAATTTGTGTACCTACTGAGGTGGAACAATTCTTCATATATTCATTGGCCTTCTGTGTTTCTTATTTTTCAAAAATTCAATGTACTTTACCCAGGAAAAATGTTTCAGCATTTGTCATTAATTGTTGCTTGATCCTTACTCTAGTTGTAACTAACTAGTGGCTTTCTTTCTTTGATTACCCCCACCTAAAGATAACCCAGCATCACATTTTCTCCTTTAGGATAATACTATTTGAGTCTTAAAACAATAGGTAAAGCTAAGCCTGTAGTTTGTCATACATCACTGTCCCATCAACCCTTTATGGGGATGTTCTAGGAGAGGCATATTGATCTTCCAAGCTCTGTGATAAAATGCCTGAGACCAGAATCCCCAGGTGTGTTGTAATGGTGGCATTGGAGTGCAGGGAGAATGTGAGAGATGCCAAGTTCATCTACTCCCAACGCAGTTGAAGTTATTAAAGGAAGAAATTTTTTCTTATCACTTTGATCTCTAAGGAATGGGAGAGAAATCTGTATGGAAAGCTGACTGTTTCTTTTCCTAAATCCTTGCTTTACATCTGGCATTGAAAGAATGGACCGCTATCTCCTATTAAAGTTGAAGTCTGGGTATTTTTGAGTCTTTCTTTTCTTTCTTTCTTTCTTTCTTTCTTTCTTTCTTTCTTTCTTTCTTTCTTTCTTTCTTTCTTTCTTCCTTTCTTTCTTTCCTTCTTTTTTTAAGTAGGCTCCTTGCCCAGCATAGAGCCCCACACAGGGCTTGAACTCATGACCCTGAGATCAAGAGATCAAGACCTGAGCTGAGATCAAGAGTTGGACCTTCAACAGACTGGGCCCTCCAGTTGCCCCTAATTTTGAGTCTTCTTAACAATTACTTCCCAAGACTTTGAGATGACTCAGGATAGAAGATTCCCAAGATATCTGACTGTGGACGGAGTAGGCTCATTGAGAATTGTACATAGGCCAAGACATTTTGAGAATAACTTGTGGAATGGAGGAGCTGGGTGCACAGCTCAGAGACGTCCTTCCGTATGGACAGGAGCCTCTGTGTTTTGAGTCAGCAAGGGTTTCCTAAACTTCCCTCATGATAAAGATGACCTGATGCGTTCACTACAAATAGACAATCACAGGTTCCATCTGAGACCCATTGATTCAGACTCTTCAGGTGAGGATCTGATGATTCCACCATCAGGGAAGTTTGGAAAACACTGATTTAAAGGATCTGAAGGAAAACCTCTTGTAGGAGATAGTTTTTAGGATGCCCATCCAGCTTATAAGATACCAACTAACACAACTCCTTACCCATGAGTAGGACCCGAGCATTCATGTTTGAGCTAGTCACCCTCATATCCCTGGCCATGAAGGGAGCCAGGCTGTGCCAGTCAGATTTTCTCTCCACAAACTAGAAATGGTTTTTAGGGATGGGCAGTATGTCTCTAGAACTATAACATGGAGTCTTAAGAACATGGGATGACTTTATTCTGCTACATAGATAAAGAAGCAGTTAAAATGGTCTACAGGAGAGAGAAGAATGAAACACAGAATCCCTTTTGGCTTGACGTAGCTTGATTTGCTTTCAATAACTTGCATCCCAAGACCGAGATGTTCTAATATATATATTTTCTTAAATCACCTACACTTAACTAAAACTTTCACAATGAGGATCAATTGAAGTTTGTTAATGGATCTTCTATTTTAAAAATGTACATGCCTCTGGAAAGATTACAGCTCATAATTTAATATAAATTACTTTAACCAGATTACTGCAACTGATGGAATAAGAGTGTTATTTGTGGGGAGTGGCAATGCAGGTGAGGTGGGGAGGGGCAGACTAGGTGAGGAGCCCTGATACCAGGTTTAGACACCAACATGGAAACATGAAGACTGGCTATGTTCATTTCTACATGGTGTTTATACCTTTTCTCCTTGCGGTGCTGAGTGTGCAGGTATTTCCAATTCAGGCTGATCTATCCACCAGTGTGGATGTCAGGTGGCATTTAGGATCTGTCAGATTCAGATTTCCACGACTAAAAATAATATCTGATTAGGATTCTTGAATTGAAGCTTAAGAACATGAATGGGTTATTTGAAGAGAACTCAATGTGCTCAATGGAGTTGATTCAGGGTTCATGTGTTCATTCACATAGTCAACTCATTGCACAACCAGTTATGTTTAGCCCTTGCCCAGGACACAAGGGTAAGACAATTTTTTTTTCCTCAATAGGGATTTGGCAGTGGTTCCCTAACTCTTAGGGCTGGGTGCATACGTCTCCCGGGCACCTTGATCTGTTGTTCCCCTTTGTTCATCATGAAAGGGCTATGGACTCCTTTGGGAAGTTGTCTTAGTGTTCCATTACGATTACAGTTTCTAGACTTACCTATGGAGTCAAGGAGTTGTTAAACCAACTGAAAGTTCTCTTTTGCTTTCTGAAATTCAGTCTTCTTTGATGCTACTATTTCCTGTTTCCCCCACTATTTTCCTATTTATTATTTTGTGTGTGGAGCCTGTGGGAGTGAGCTCTTATCTCCCAGGAGGGCTTGCTGTTGTAAAAGAAAATGTCTGATTTCTCGGGATTTCTTTAAGATCCCTCATGCTGCTCTTCTTCTTCTTCTTCTTCTTTTTAAGATTTTTATTTGTTTATTTGACAGAGAGAGACATGGTGAGAGAGGGAACACAAGCAGGGTGAGTGGGAGAGGGAGAAGCAGTCTTCCCGCTGAGCAGGGAGTCCGATGTGGGGCTCAATCCCAGGACCCTGGGACCGTGACCTGAGCCGAAGGCAGACACCCAGTGACTGAGCCACTTAGGCGCCCCTCATGCTGCTCTTCTTTAAGGGAAGTCCCAAACACTCAGGAGGAGGTGAAACCATTGACAGTTGAAATGTTGGCAAACTTCTTAGGATCCGATGCACTCCCTGCCTTGGTTCATTTTGTTGTCTTAAGGGCTTCCCTTCCTCTGCCAAGCAGGTCATTTTGAATTTTACTCGAAGGTCCGGAGAAGCTACAAGTGTGAGTTTAGTCTGTTGTTTGATGCATTTACACTTTTATCTGATGATCTGGGAGAAAGATTTAGAAAAGGGGCGTCTTGAGGGTCGGTCCTGGAAGTCCAAGCCTAGATCCCTGGCTGAGTTCACAGGGAAAACACATGGCAAGGAGGACTTAGTGGATCTCTTGGAGCCAAAAGGACCCTGAGGCTGCATTCTGACTGGCTGGCTCTGAACCCCGCCCCCCCCAACACTGGCTATTCAGCTGGGGGCTGGGACGGCACGCGAGAGTGAAGCTCAGATAATTTGTGCTTCCTCAGGACCCTCCTAATGTGGGGTCTAATGTGATGCATGATCTGTATGTATAATAAATTCCTATT